TTCTTCTTGAATTATCTCCTTCGTTGCAACATCTTGAGTTACCTTCCCGATTCTTAGTGAAATAGCATGCACCGCCGCTCTTGTATCTTTGGGGTTAGAAATGGGTTGTGAAGGTAGAGCTCCTTGTGCTCTCTTTGTGAGGATCTCAAAAAGGTTGCCGATTTGAGTCTCCTTATGCAAAATATAGATGTAATATCAATATTTTGGCTTACTTGCAAGGGAGTGAAGGAAGAAGAAGGAGGGGAGGGGAGATCAACTTTTTAATTATTTTATATTATTATTATTATCAATTTTTTTAATTATAGATATTAGTAATACTAAAGAGTTGTGGCATGATAAGTGGTGAAAGGATAATCAATTAAGTTGGAGATCCCTGAAATTAACTTGATTCGTTATAAACTGATTCTGACACACTCTCTCTCTGATTTCTTGTCTCGAAATTATTTTCTCCAAAAAACTGATTCTCACATCGTTCTCCAGTTCTGTCCGAATCAGTATTTGAATCGATTGTCGCTTCCGGTCGCTACTTCCAAAATATCTCTGATTTTCATTCCATTGTCGACGCTTCGTGCCTATGTGCCTGATATGATCTCAACTTGGCCATTAAAACGATGGGAATTGATCGTTCATGAAGGCAATCTAAACACATTAGAAAATACTGATTTTTGTCTAAGTGTTTGTGACGATTTCAGGTACCCACTTTGGACGAGCATAATTCTCAATTGGTGTGATGGAAACTCGAGTTCTTTAGCTTGTGTTGAAGAAGAGGAACTGCTCTTTCAATCAGTAGGCTTTGGAGCTCAAGGAGAAGTCGAGAGGCTGAGTTTCCGAGGTGATCAAAATGCTAGCTCAACACTGGAGGAACTGCCAGATTTTTCTAAGTATAAAAGCAGAGTTGGGAAAGGCTCTTTGAAGCTCGAGTTAAGGAAGATGGGAAAGAGTCGAGCCTCCACATTCACACCACATGAAAGCTGGTTTCTCCTAGTTTATCGACAAGGTATTGGCTGATCAAGGTGATGTCTACAAGGGCTCGAACGAGGGGGCTAAAGATCGCTTCGAGACCCAATTTCCACCTACTACCTCCAGCCCCCTTACATGTCTTTCCCCCGCACGAGGCTCGAGACATCCGCTCCTGGCATGGCCGGTAAGAGCCGGTTGGGACCCTTGAAAAAAAAAATCACAGAAAACAAGCAAAACAGAAAGAAAAAGGGTTCCAACCATCTTCAAAGAAAATAGAGCACCTTGAAAAATGTGAGTCCATGATCCTTTGTCTTTGAGAATCTCTTCATCCACAATTCATTTGTCCTCTGTTCACTGTTTGCCATGATGCCGACTCGATACTAGTGCTCTCGCCGAAGGAGCTATGAGATGACTTGTGCGTCGGTTGACCTCGTAAGTTGCTAAATGATCTAGGAAGTCCTCTACCTACGATCTGGGTTGTTTGTTGCTATAGAGGTCTGGAGAGTTGCATTGGTTTGAGTTAGGTTTGCTTGGGGACAAGCAAACGGTTAAGTGTGGGGGAGTTTGATAACGATGTAATTGCACATATTTGCGCCCCTAGTTCTTATCCGTTTGAGGGGCATAGTCGTGTGTTTTGGCCTATTTTACGCCGGGTTGTGCTATTTTGTCATGTTTCACGTCCCAGGTGTCAAAAGGAAAGCTAAGCGCGAGTTTTGGGGCATTCGGAGGTCATTTCGTCAAGCTGGGGCCAAAACACGGGCACACCTAAGGCATTACACGGCCGTGTTCCTGTGGCCGTGCTTTTTATGCCGAGAGCAGATTCGGTTTGGCAAATTCAGCTGCAAACACGGGCACCAAAGCACGGCCGTGTTCCACCAAAGCACGGCCGTGTCCACCGCGAAACACGGCCGTGTTTCTCCCAACTGCTGGCCGTGTAATTAACCCTGGCCGAGGCACGGGCGGGCTCAGGCAAAGCACGACCGTGTCCTCGACCGTGCTTTGGCCACTGATGCCTTTTTAAGCAGATTTTCAACCAATGAGAAGGGGATTCGAGTTTTTGAGAGAGAGAACAATTCCTAGAGAGAGAAAGCGACGAACAAGAGTCTCCAAGCGCCCTAGCTTGATCTTCAACACCATTGGAGGCCAGTTTGAGCTTGGAGAAGTGCCGATCAACGTCCAGGAGCAGGAATCCATCCTTCACAGTATGAATTCCGCGTCTGATTCTGCTTTTGCTTTCTTCTCCATGGAGTAATTCTCCCATTCATCTGGGTATGGAGAACCCTAGATTTGTATGTTAGGCTTTGATTGTATGAACCCAAGTACTGATTCTATGATTGATTATATTCGATTAAGGTTTGAATGATTGAATGACTTGAATCCTGATCAAATTCCTGTTGTTTCTGCTTTAACCTAGAATGAGAATATCTGACTAGGTTAATAGAGTATCCTTGATTGAAGGTAGGGAGTTGGTGACTTTAGTCGAGGAACCAACTCACTATGTTGTACCGGATTTACTCCGGTAGTGGAGGTTTTGTTCTTAGGGCCTCAATCTGTTTACTCCGGTGGAGGTTAGTCGCCCGCTAGAGACTCAGATTGAGAGGGTCTGAAGACCTTTAGTCGAGACTTCAGGCTATTTAAGAACCTTCCGCAGTATAACTATCATAGAAACTGAACTTGGTAATTACAATCCGGCTTAACTGCAGTCTAGGGGGAACCATATCCGGGTGACCTCTCTTAACCTGAATATAACCGTTTACCTGCTTTGTTAGTTTATTAGTTTAGATTTGCATTCCAGTTTCATTGCTAGATAACAAGAATTCACCGAGTAGTCATCAAATCTAGGACCCGGGTTGACATATAAACCTAACCCGCTATACTACGGTTTAGGAAGTGGTTTCACTTGGCCAATTCCTAGGGTGACAGTAGAAGTGAGTCACTGAACCTTCACTAAATATTAATAGGTCGTCGGCAAAGCAGAGATGGGTGAGATCAACTCTTTTGCATTGAGGGTGAAAAGGAATCACATTGGAGACTGCAGCTCGATTTAAAAGACCAGTAAGTGGTTCCATAGCAATGGTGAATAGGTAGGGGGAGAGGGGATCCCCCTGCCTGACCCCCTTTGCAGACTGAAAGAACCCAAAAAGACTTCCACGTATCGATACATTAAAGAATGCAATAAAATTTATATTAAAGTATATTTATTAGTATTTTTTATTATTACATAAAATTTTATTTTATTAATATATGAGACAATATTTTATAAATACAATAAATATATTTTATTATTATATAATTTAATTATTTTTCACCCTATTTGCACCCCCTACTTTTTCATTCTAAACAATAATTTCTCCCTCCACTTATACCCCATTAATTTACACTCCTATTATTTCTCTCTCAACCTTCACTCTAATAAAATTTGCACTTCCTAGTTGTCAAATATAGTGTTAATGTGTTAGCACCCTATTCGTTTCCGTAAATACCTGACTATACCGTTTGGAATAAATGAATTCCATAAGTTTTGAGAAATTCATTTTGAAATGAAATCTTTTTGTGATTGATATTTAAAATAAATCATTTTCAAATCTAAATTTTGAACTCTACAGAATTGGAATAAGTTATAACAATCCTGAGATATTATGATGGAACTATCCTTATTTATTAAATAAATTATTTCTACATATATTATTAGTCGCCACTTCCTCATTCGTTTTGCTAATTGATCTACTAGCATGCAAACCACCCAATTTTTTCCGAACTTATTTTTTTAACTTTGTCTTATTGGTTGGATAATAACTCTATCACTTGTGTTTTTTAGAAGATGGATTTCTATGAATATTTTCCTGTCAAAAATATATATGGGTGTTGTTGAATTTTTTTATATTTAATTCAAGGGCTAATTCCATTAGAAAGTTTAAACTATCCAAAAAGTGTCATATGTGTACTAAACTATTCAATATGACAAATCTGGCCTACACTATTTTTTTGTTAGTGTTGACTGTTAGTGATCAACGGACAACCAGTTGACTGCTGATGTGTCAGCTATGTTTGATTATTTTCAAATTAAATTAATTAAATTAATAATAGTAAATTTATTCTTTTTTTACTTTACAAACTTAAAATTAATAATAGATTTGGGTGACAAAAAAGATTTTGGCTACGACATCTCTGTTGTCGGTTCGGCGGTGGTGGCAGTGACGTTGACGCTACGGAACCAGTAGGATTCTCGGAATTCGACATCTGTGGTCCTTGAAGACGAGAAGAAGACCGATAAAGTTGGAAGAAAGTTGGGGAAATTGTTCCAATGGCGATAGCGGGAAATAGAATTGGGGGGAATTGGAGTTGGAATCGGGTGGAGATTTGGTCAGTTTGGGAAACAGGCGTTTGGAAGGGAAGAAATTGAAAAAGAAACGGGAGGGAGGAAGAGGAACATGAATCGTTGAGCAGCCTCCTCGTCAAATCGATGTCGCCGCAACCAGATCCTCAAAAACCCTTAAGCTTGCTATGTTCGTGTCAGCCGGTGGGAGAAGAAAGGAAGGAGCGATGGTGTCTTTGAACCTTCAAATCGGCTCACGGCAGTATGCTTAGACACTTCCGCCGGAGGAGAGGAAGAAGCAAAGCAAGGAGGAAGTCGGAGAAGATTGGCTCGCCGGCGACTTGGAATTGATTTTCCCCCTAATTTTTATTTTTTTAAATCCATGTAATTTTGAATTAAAAAATCATAATATGATGTTTTAATTACGTGACATCTATATGACAATTACATTTTTGCCACGACAACAAAAGTCAACATTTCGTTGACCACCGTCTGGTCAACCTTTACCTCTAATGTTCAACAAAAGTGTCAGGCTACAAATGTCACAAAGTACAAAAAGTTCGGGAAATATTTGTCATGTTGAATAGTTAAGTACACAAATAACACTTTTTGGATAGTTTGGGCTTTCTAGTGAAATTAACCCTTGGTATTCTTCTCTATTTAGATTGATTTCATTTTAGTATGTTTCTTGCTTAACTTTCATTCATTTCATTTCATATTATTTTTAGCTTTGACCAATGTATTTTGGTTCTGCTTGGTCGACGGTGCTGGTTCATTTCTATTAGTCTGTATTTTTCCCTGTGTTGAGACGATGGATGCAAGGTTGATAGTTTTGGATTCCACCTTTCCCTTCTTGGCTTCCATCACCAGGACCATCGTTGTTGTTTTTTTTTTTACAAGAGGACACTGAAATTCCATTACTTGTTGTAGAAAGATCTAGCAACCCAGTTTGCTTTCACATTGCTCTTACGACCTATGTGCGAGACCCGGATCAAAGGATTGGAATCCATCATTTGTTTGATAGTGCTAATCCAAGCTGCAGCTCGCCATGGCCACTTTCTCGGATGATCCTGCATTGCCTTGACAAGGGGCAGGCAGTCCGAGCAAACAAGACCTGGGGAGTGTAGATCAGTAGCCAAACGATAGCCAACCAAAAGGGCCTTGGCTTCAGCTTCAAGTGGGGGAAAACAGTGCAAGATCTCAGCCTTACCATCACAGACTTGACCATGGCTGTTCAAAACAACGACGCCATATGCCGCCTCCTGGGGGTCGCTGAAAAACGACCCATCGCAGTGTATCTCAAAGTCATGAGAACTTGGCGGTGATGAAGAATGATTTGGTGTTGGGGTAGACTGAGCTGGAAAAGTGGCAGTGGGAGGCTTCTTGGGGCAGGAGGTCCACTGATGGTGTGCAAGAGCTGCCTTTGCAATCGTGACTGGGGGCCAGGGGGAGGTGTTCTTGAAGATTTGTTTGTTCCTTGCTTTCCAAGTCTGCCACAGGAGAAAGATGATCTTCTGGATAGAGAGGATCAAGAACCTGGGGACCAAGGAAGTCAGCCATGCCATAAACAGAGTGCAAGAAGCAGGTGTAGGAAGAGAGGGCCATTCCTGTCTCCATCCCTCTGCTGCATGTGGGCAGGTGAAGAGGCAGTGGTGAATAGACTCAGAGGGGTGGGCACATAAAGGACACGTCATGGATGGCGAGAATTTCCTTGCATGAAGGTTCTCCTTCGATGCTAGCGCTCCCCTGAAGATCCTCCAGATAAAAATTTTGAGCTTCGGAGGGATGGAGAGGCTCCATAGCCATTTCCATCTATCCTTGCTAGCCTCGGACACCCTATCGATCGGACCTTGCATCGACCTGGTTCGGTTGTGAAACATGTGAAAGGCTGACTTCACTGTGAAGGAACCATGCTCAGTGAATCTCCAGGCCCAAAAATCTTCCAGAGACTCCGGACCAATTGGGATGGCCGCCACTTGTCTCAAATCGCGAGGACTCAGATAATCTTGCAGGAGATCAAACTTCCATTCTCTGGTGATGCCATCAATCCATTTATCCGTTGTAGATTGGTCAGGCCAATTGAACTCCAGGAGGGTTCCAGTTCGATCTCTTCTCTAGGGGTCTTGAAAGAGCTTGGTTGATTTACCATTACCAATAACCTTAATGATTCCATGTTCCATCCATTTCTTTGCTTCGCACAAACTAGACTAGATCCAGGACGCCTTTCCACCTTTCTTGGAGCTCAGGAAATCAGAATTCGGGAAATAAATGCTCTTGAGCACCTAGACCCACAGGGCATCTTTGTTAGTAAGGATTCGCCAGGCTTGTTTGGCAAGCAGGGCCAAGTTGAAAGTATGAAAAGGTCGGAAACCAAGACCCCCCTCATTCTTTGGAGCATAAAGGACATCACCTGCCCTCCAGTGAATAGTTCTCACAAGTCACAACTTCCCTCTCCCACACAACTAAGCTGTAAACATCGTCCCCATTCAATCCACGTGTAAGAGAGGGATGCTATATGGTAAAATCTCATCACCTTTTTATCACACATAACCAAACCTATAAAGCTACGTGGAAGAGAAAGGGCAATATGGCTCATCTTCCCACCTCGTACTACTCCTTGACAAGTAGAAAACCAAGTGTGTTTCTCACTTACTTAAGAAGTTGGAGAATTTACCCTAAAGCACACAATTAACATGCTTATTTTGCCTTGTTACACGTGTATGTGAACTAAGCTTAGTCTCCCACTTACCCTAAACAAGCCAATTACACATGGAAACTAGTAAGACTAAAGGTGTCATTTTTTATCACTAACCCTTTTAATAATTCATACTAAGCCCATCCCATATTCTTACACGTGGAAGCAAGCATGGTGAGCTTTGGCATTTTAATTTGCTAGCCATATGCATGCACTTACACGTCCCAGGTAAGTTTCTCAAACCATTAATTAAGTTGTTAATTTCATTTGTTATTTGATGTTTTAAATCACTATTGCTAAAGGATACGCCACCCCGCCAGGAGCAGGATGCGCCTATAAATAGGTCGTTCATTTCTGCTTCCTCGGCGATCCATCTCAATTCCAAGGAACTCATTTTCTCTGAACGAGATAGGAAAAGGGGAATTCCCGACGAACTTCTTCTCGGCGAATTGGCAACTTCCAACCCCAAAATTTCTCTTTCTTTCTCCCTAGAGCCGGTTCTATACACCGCTCCCTGTTATTTCCAAGTACTGACTTGAGCTTTGGAGAAGGTCCCAGCCGACCACAACCGGCGGGTCCTCTTTTGCAGGTATTCATCTCGAAAGCTGGAATCCAACGGAAAATCAAAAGGTCAACGCTCTCCGGACTCTACAACGTACGAGGTCGGCTATTTTAGCTTGGCATCAACAATTGGCGCCCACCGTGGGGCCCGGTGAGATTACTACCTATAGATTTCCAATTCAACCAGTCGAGATGGATACAACGGATTCTCAACTGCATGTTGAGATCGGTCAAGGTTCAACTCCAAACCCTGAGCAAACTCTACCATCCCAAAGGGTTGAAGATTTGCAGGCTGAAATTGAGCGACTTCGTGCTCAGATTCGGTCTGCAACGGAGGCTTCACAACCACCTCCGGTTCCTCTACCAACTTTCTACGGAAGTACGGGAGTCCCTAGATCCTCCAACAACCATCATAATGGCATTCCGGCAACAACTGAAGCAGCGGCCCAAGATGTCCCCCCAATTGTTCCTCACCTCGAAGAACTTCCTCCCCTGGGGACGTTTTCTCAACCAAGTACCGGTCGCCCCCTTGCTTTGGCCATTCTAAATGAGCCGTACCCGGGAAACATCCATATACCCAACCTTCCGGAGTACAATGGCACCACCGACCCAGAAGATCATCTCAGTTCCTTTTAGATTTTAATGCCTCTTATTGGGGCCTCTGATGCCACCATGTGTAAAATATTTCCCGCCATACTTGGAGGGGATGCTCGTCGATGGTACTCTCAGCTTCGTAATGGTATCATCAACAACTTCACCGAATTTTCCACACTGTTTCGGTGCAAGTTTTATGCCCAAAAGCGACAAGCAGTGAGCATTAATCAGCTCATGAATACCAAGCAACGAGAGGGTGAGGCTTTAAAAGCCTATTATGCTAGGTACAGCACCTTGGCTATAGGCGTCACTTCCCTCTCTATTGAAGTAATTGTCAACACGCTGACACGAGGAACAACAAACAGTCTTCTTCGAGCTTCCCTCATCAAGAAACCCCCTCGGAGTATGTTTGAGCTACAGGAGCGGGTCATGAAGTACATCGATCTAAAAGAAGCTTTACAAGATTCCTCTTACGTTGTGCCAAAGCGTAGGAGGGATTCGCCTCCGCCAAACCGAGAAACTTTACAACGCCCCCGCCCAACTTTGGATAACATGCCCAAGGCTCAAAAAGATGATCGCAGAAGGGATGGGCCATTCCCTCCAGGCCAAAATTTTACCCCACTCAACAATCCACGGAGGAATGTTCTCCAGGTCATTCAAGATAAAAAGCTTCCGGTGACATGGCCACCTCGAGGTCGCATAAAACCAATAAAAGGAAAGAACCAATTTTGTGACTTTCATCGGGGATACGGGCATGACACCGAGGAATGCGAAAAATTGGGAAGATCCATCGAGGGACTGATTCAAATGGGCAACTTAAGCAGTTCATCCAAAGTTCCAAAGGCTCAATCCAACAACCTTCGTCATCGGACAAAGGAAAAGCTCCACAAGGAAGCGGACCTGTGTTAGGGGTCGTCCCAGTCATACATGGAGGAACTGGACTACGACAGGAATTGTCCACCTCTCGTAAGACGTATACTCGAACTTTGGTTGGCTCCACCTCCACTATCTCAGATCAAAATCCTATCATTTTTTTTTCCCGAGATCTCGAGGATATCGAATATCCCCATGATGATCCTCTGGTGATTGAGGCTACCATCGCCAACTACACAGTAAAACGAGTTCTCATTGACGGAGGGAGCTCAACCGACCTACTTTTTTACCCCGCTTTCTGCTCATTGGGTTTTCGCTTGGATCGGTGTCAACCTTCCAGTGTCTTTCTTTTAGGCTTCTCTGGCAACCAAGTCCCGGTACTTGGAATTTTACCCCTTCATGTTCGCATCGGCAATGGCGACCAAGCAATCGAGACATTGGTTAACTTTCATGTGGTGGAATGTTCCTCTGCATACAATGGAATTCTTGGAAGACCCTTTCTACATCAAGCTCACGCCATCCCTTCTACGCTTCATCTCAAATTGAAGTTCCCTACTCCGTCCGGGGTAGGTTGTGTCCGAGGGGATCAAGCAATCGCCAAGCAATGTTGTGCATTTTCCCTTAAAGATAAACATGTCACTACTGTTGACACTCGAGAAGAGGTAGCTCGCCCTGTGCCAGTCGACCTTGATGAGGAACAAGTTGTTCAAGATGGCCTTACCATCCGTGTCTCAACCGCTTGGCCTAAAGAAGCTCTTCCTCAACTTCTCAACGTAGTCCGAGAATTTAAAGAACTATTCGCCCAAGGTCCTGAAGACATGCCTGGACTTGATCGTCGGGTAGCGGAGCATGCCCTAAGAATTCTCTCAGGCTGTCTTCCTGTACAACAAAAGAGAAGGAACTTTGCATGGGAACGACGTCAAGCTGTTGCAGAAGAAGTAGTCAAACTCGCTCAGGCAGGATTCATCCGAGAAATTCTCTACCCCACATGGCTGGCCAACGTTGTTATGGTAAAAAAAGCCAATGGGCAGTGGAGGATGTGCGTAGACTTCACTGACCTCAATAAGGCATGCCCAAAAGACCCATATCCTCTTCCCAAAATTGATCGATTGATTGATGCTACCTCTGGGCACCGCCTTCTTTCCTTCCTCGACATGTTTTCTGGTTATCACCAGATTCCCATGAAAAAAGAAGATCAAGAAAAAACAGCATTCATGACCCCAGTTGGTAATTATTGCTATAAGGTTATGCCTTTTGGCTTAAAGAATGCTGGAGCCACCTATCAACGAATGGTTGATCGTGTCTTCTCACGTCAACTTGGTCGGAACCTAGAAGCCTACGTTGATGATATCTTGGTAAAAAGTAACAGTGTCAATGAACATCTGGAAGATTTGCGAGAAACATTCAACACTCTTCGCCTATATGCTCTTCGACTCAACCCTAAGAAGTGTGTTTTTGGGGCGACTGCTGGAAAATTCTTGGGGTTCATGGTAACCCAGAGAGGGATCAAGGCAAACCCTCGACAAATTGATGCCATCCTCCAAATGTCCTCCCCAACCAGAGGCAAAGAAGTACAAGTTCTCACAGGTCGCATCGCCGCACTCAATCGTTTTATCTCTCGTGCCGGTGATCGTTGTGCTCCATTCTTTGCCACTTTGAAGGATGCCGGGAAACACTTTGAATGGACACCTGAGTGCGAAAAAGCTTTTACTAAGCTCAAGGATTTTTTAGTGACACCTCCAGTGCTCTCTGCCCCGGTAAATAATGAAACTCTTTTCATGTATTTTGCCGTGTCGCAGAAGGCTGTGAGCTCGGTACTTCTTCGTCGAGATACTGACAACTCCGAACATCCGATATATTATACCTGTAAAACTCTACTAGATGCTGAGACCAGGTATTCACCCGTAGAAAAAGCTGATTTAGCTGTGGTCGTGGCCTCCAGAAAGCTTTGCCCATACTTCCAAAGCCACTCTATATGTGTTTTCACACAATTGCCACTCCGAAAGCTTCTCCAACGTATGGATGTAGCGGGTCGAATGATCAACTAGGCCATTGAATTAAGTGAGTATGATATCACCTACCTCCCCCGTACATCCATCAAATCACAGGTGTTGGCTGACTTTGTGGCCGAAGGAGTTCATGTTACCACACCATCCGAGTCAGAAACTTGGAGGCTATTTGTGGATGGAGCTTCAAGCAAGTCCGGATCTGGAGCAGGAGTGCTTCTTATCAGTCCATTGGGTGTTACCCATGAGTTGGCTGTTCGTTTTACAACTCCAAGAACTAATAATGCCACAGAATACGAAGCCCTACTAGCTGGCTTAACAATGGCACAAGAATTAGGAGTTCAAAGAATCTTGATACACTCAGACTCTGCCCTTGTTGTCAATCAAGTTATGGGGGCATATGAGGCTCGTGAACCTTCCCTAACTGCCTACGTCAATGCTGCTCGAGCCATTATGACTGATTTTATACATGTTGAGATAAAACATGTATTACGAGAAGAAAATCTCCATGCGGATGCCCTCTCGAAGCTTGCCACGGCTCGAGACTTCCCTGAAGACAGGAATGTGGTAGTTGAGCGTCGCCCTCCTTTGTTGTGCGCTCCTATTATCTCATCATCACTCCCACAAGATTGGCGCACACCCCTCATGGAGTATCTCCAACATGACCTTCTACCCACTGACCCCAAGGAAGCCATGAAACTTCGGAGGCGTGCTCCTCGCTACCTCCTTATAGAAGGTGTACTCTACAAAAAAAGTTTTATGGGCCCGTACCTCCGGTGCCTTGGTGAAGAGGAAGCCAACTTTGCTATCCGTGAAACTCACGATGGATCATGTGGAATGCACGCTGGCCCACGAAGTCTCGAGAAGATCCTCCTCAGGCAGGGATACTATTGGCCCACTATGCGCCGAGACACGCGAGAGTATGTCAAATCTTGTATCAAGTGTCAAGTTTCCGCCCAAGTTCCACATGCACCACCTGGGCCCATGCAAGGAAATATTAGTCCATGGCCATTTGCCCAATGGGGAATGGACTTCCTGGGACCATTCCCTGAAGCCCCGGGACGAAAAAAATGGCTCATTGTCGCAATCGACTACTTCACCAAATGGGTAGAAGCGAGAGCCATCACTGGACTCACTGCCCAACAAGTCGAGAAATTCTTGTGGGAAAATATCATTTGCCGCTTTAGTCTTCCCCACACCATCATACTCGATCAAGGGACACAGTTCACAAGTGAAAGTCTTCAAACATACTGTGCACGGTATGGCATCCTCCTCCGTTATGCTTCTGTCGCCTATCCTCAAGCTAATGGACAAGCAGAGTCAGCCAATAAAAACATCCTCTGGGGGCTAAAAACTCGACTGAATGAAGCAAAAGGAAAGTGGGCGGAAGAACTTTCTCATGTTCTTTGGGCCCATCGCACGACCTATAAAACAGCCACAGGGGAGTCACCCTATGCCCTCACCTTTGGCCTAGATGCAGTAATTCCTGTGGAAACTGAGCTTTCCTCCTACCGCATTGAAACATTTCACCCTAACGATAATCAATAGGAGCTCGTTCATGACCTCCATCTCATTGAAGAACGTCGAGAAGACGCTCTCCTCAGAATGACAGCCATGAAGGCACGTGTAGCTCGTTACTACAATACCAAAGTAAAGCAGCGACCAATATGTGAAGGTGAATGGGTTCTCCGCCGCAACTTTTACCACAAAACAAGCTTAGGAAAGTTCAATCCACCATGGGAAGGACCCTACAGAGTACGCAAAGTGGTCGGTCCAAACACTGTCAAGCTTTCTGATGCTAGTGGCCGAAATATTCCCCGCACCTGGAACACCATGCACCTTCGAAGGTACTTTACGCCATAATATGTATCGAGTATGCCATAATACGTACATAGTGTATGCCATAATATGTATTACGTGTTTGTTGCGACATGTACAAAAGGTTTGAAATAAAATGGTGATACGTCACCACCTAGTTTTATTAAAAACCGCTATATGTACAACGCAAAATGCACGGTTACATATCTATGACGAACTACTAATGTACATAGGCAAGATATGCTGCTACATAAACATGGCACACATAGGTAATATATCCGAATATCTTTGCGGAGCAAGATACTACCTGTACAGAGAAAAGTTTGCTACCACCGCAAGCTACACTATCTCACATAGGAGGACCGAAGCCAAGTATTTCATTCACCCAGGCGTTCTCAGCAGACATCGCCAGCTCTGACGGGATCGGGCTATCCATTGCAGCAATAAATGATTGATCCGCAGAAGCCGTATCAAATATCGGGGTTGAAATGAAAGGCTCAATCTCCAGGTTATCACGATGCATCACCACCTCCTCGGATGGAACTCCTTCAATTCTGGTATCCGCCTCTCTTGGGACACGTGCCTCGTCAGACTCAGCCTCTGGAAATATGTCACGTGAACCCACTAAGAGCATGGCGCCTCCTGAGGTTTCCCCCACCGACTGTTGCACTTGATGTTGCAGTAGTACTGTCTCTGCACGAGCTTCATCA